AGAGGACAGACTATGGTGTCCGGTACGAGCTTTAAAGTGGTACATTGCTCGTACCAAGTCTCTCAGAGGTAATGTTTCCCAACTGTTCATTACTACTACCAGTCCGTATAAGGCTGTCTCGCCAGATACCATTTCTCGATGGATTGTAAGGGCGATACGCTCATCCTTTAGTTCCTGGCCATGCCTGACAGCAGAAGCTCAGGCGGTGAATGCTCACGAGACGAGATCCATGGCCACGTCGTGGGTCTTCCTTAAGGGTGTTCCTCTCAAAGATATTTTACAGGCTGCAGCCTGGAAAACTCCAACTACTTTTATGTCATGCTACCTCAAAGATGTCGAGTCATCTGGAGGCAGAGTCGGCCGTAGTGCTCTGAGTGTACTCCAGCCTTCTATGACAGCCCCCCAGGAGTGATGAGTTGTTTCTATCACTTCACTCTGGGATTTATATTTTTCGGTGAGTTGGCTTCCTTTCTTTCCATCTTGCTTAAAGAAATTCGGAAGAGCGCGAAGGGACGATATTTATCTCTTTTACCAAGGATTTGTTGTTTTATTGTTACCTTGCGCCTCACCCGTTGACCGTTCTCCTTTTTACGGTGCCAGTCTATGCAATTGTAGGTTTAACAGGTAAGGGAGTCCCTGAAGTGGACTCCCCCAAATCAAGGGTGATTTGGGAGTCCGCAAAGGGACGATACTTACCTGTTAAACCTCCCACCCTCCTTCCCCACTTGGGTTCGGCTTTTACTGTGTCTTTTTACCCACACCTCGAGAAAAAGAGGACGAGTTGGCTTAATGGACCGAGTTAGGGACCATGGACGATGGAGGGCGCTATTGCGGTGTGGTAAAAAGAATCTAGCGTGAAAGCCTACGGCTAGATAAATATGCAATTGTAGGTTTAAACAGGTAAGTATCTTCCCTTCGCGGACTCCCAAATCACCCTTGATTTGGGGGAATCCATTTCGATACATGTAACAAGCCGACACTACCACTTCGTCTGTTAGGTCTGGGTACACGGGCGAGAGCATGATGAGGAACCGCCAGTTAGTAGCGCTGTGCTCAGTGTTAAAAGTGTCACGTCACACAAAAGAAAAATGCTGAAACTGCTGTATAACATGTATATCGCTTACAATTATTTTATAAAAAAAAGTATTTTATTTTTTATTATTCTTTAGTTGATATATGTTACAGTAAGAAGGGTTTGTTACATAATTACAAATGATTAAAATAATAACAGATATTTTTACATTTGCTTAATTATGTTTTCTGAGTAGGCGTTTTTACCCCGGGCAAAATCAGGAGTCTCGGGGTAAAAACGCCCAGTTCTTTCCTTGACATCAAACACTTTTGCAGCCTCATTTATCTTCAAAACCTCACTATTACAACTTTCTACAGCCATAGGCCTATATGTTTCTTGTATGAGTAAGTATTAGCTATAAGAGTTCTACCACAAAAATATTGAACAGTGTATTGTGTGAAGTGGGGAGGTACATGTAGGCGGTATCACTAACGGACATTACTTAGTGGTAAGGTATCTGGCATTTGGTAGGGAATGCCCGAGAAATCATGAGATCATGGCATTTTCTCAAGGAAAAAACAAAATAACACCTAGAGCTATGGTGATTTGAACGTACTTTTATTTTTAAGTAAAATGACTAGAAATGGTTCTAAGACCCGACTAGACCGGTTTCTGCTCTCATGCTCTAATAGCAGAGCTTCATCAGTAGTAAGCCAATACCGGTATTTAATATTCAGCTAAAGTCGTGTCAAATGTAGGAGTGCAAACATGTAGATAAGTGCATCTAATACACTTTTGTGTAAACCTTGTAATGAGTCCAATTCCCAGTTATTGATAAACATTGATTTGACAAGTAAACCTTTCAGATTTTTCGCCCTTTTATAGGCAGGAATTGGTTTGCTGGGAAACAGATTGCATAATTTCGGGTGTTCCGAAATTAAATGCCATTCTTTCAGCAATGCTTTAATTAGCTGCTGGGTTTTGATGTGTGGTGTGTAGATTATCTTGAAGACTAGAGGTAGTTCTTTTGGTAGTGTTTCATTCATGATGTATTGCTCACACTCACAGTTTTCAAATTTAATGTCTTTTATGACTGGCAATTTCCTCTTTTTTTTGTGGTTACAGAGTAAGTTTCTCCATGAACGCATTTCCTTTCTCCAAGAAATCTGTCTCGTTGTTACAGAAATGTGCATATCTTAGTAGTTCTCCTTTGATAAAGCCTTAGGTTATCAGCAGTCAGGCCTTGAATTTGGGAATTTTTAGGGCAAGGCCACTTTGGCCTTGAATGGAGCAAAATTATAGAGGGCACCACGGCCAGTCGGGAGGGCACCAAGGCCAAACTAATATCTGCAGAAGGGGCACAGAGGCCGGTTAAAAGAAATGCGCATTTATATTAGCGATCATGTAGTTTAGGGCCCCCCTTTAGTTTCGATCAAATTTGAGCCAAAGGTGTTTTTATCATTCAAAAAAGTACCTTTTCAACCTAAAGCGGACTTCTCTCAGCTTATATTGCACCTGTTTTGTAATTTTGAACACTTTTTGGGGATAGAAATTACGTTTTTTAAAGCAGTTAAAATTATGGTTGGTGACATGCGATCGCCATCTCTATTTTCGTGTTGCGTTTTTTCGTTGTCGTTTTCCCTCCAAATTCCCCTCAAAATTCGAAACCCTTCCCTCTATCTATAACCTACCTGCATGTTCTTAAAGTGGATTAAAAGTTGATTTTGTTCTCTTACGGGAATCAGGCCCATAATTAATACACGATCGCCATTTACAATGTCCGCTTTTGACAATCGGAATTCGGAACGCACGTGCACGCGTGTTTTGACTATGCCCCAAGCTCGTTTGCCTCGTACACGAACATTAATGCGTTCTGTACCGCGCATGCAAGCACTGGGAAAAAGAAAGTCGGTTGACTGCACGTAAGATCTGCCGTACGTACTCCTGCTGGTATGTGTGTGTACGAATACTGACATATATTTTTGCGGCGGGGGTGTCGCTACTTGAAGTATCGGCACATACAGGAACTGGAGATTCAGTTGTCAGTGTACATACGTACATGTACAGAACGTACGTGTGTGTACATCGTACAGTGGGGAATCGACGGCGTATGGCGGGACGGCCACGGCCGTACTGCGCGCGTGTGATTGATTCAGCGAGATATTAAGACAACTGATTGGGCTGGCATGGCATCGAAATACATTGTCAATTTGTGGAAAAACAACTGGAATCAAGAATTGTAGTGGTTTTAATAGGCTGATGCATGTTTTTGCAAAAAGGGCACGGCGGCCAAGGTAATTATGGGGCAAGGCAAAACTGGCCGTGAAGACAGGGATTTTTTGTGGGGCACCTCGGCCAGTAAGAAGGCAACGACGGCACTGGCCGTCGTGGCCGTCGTTCAATTCAAGCCCTGAGCAGTACCGTAGGCTAGAAACATATGCCTAATAACATGGAACTATGCTAGATTTTCAATGTTGGCAGGTATTTTACATGTATGTAACCCTACAAGTTTGTTATGGGCAAATTATGTATGCTAATGTTCCACTTCCTTCAACATAAAAATACCTGTTTCAAATGATCAAGTTTGTAGTTATAATTAACCAGCTGTGTTTGAAAAGTTATTTGTACTTGATGAAGTATCCCTCAATATTAAATTAATTACAAAAATATGACTATACTACAGGGAAACCTGTGGTATAGACATTTCTTTATGTGGGTGGGCGTTTTTACCCCGAGGCCCGGGTAAAAACGCCCACCAAACTTCCTCCCAAAAAGGGGGGCAAATTTCCCCTTATCAATATTATGACCATGATATTATATTTGCGCCTGATAGAGGAGACATGTATTGCATAAAACCACATATTTATTTCCTAGTGTCTCCAAGTTGTACTGAGATATTTAACAAAAACTTAAAAATCAGGCATTTTTTACCCTAGTTTACCCTAAATCAAGTTATTATCATTATCATTATTATTATTTATTCGGCCAAATTACAAAATACAACAAGCAATCCACAAAAATAAACAAAAACAACCCAATCCAAGCTGGCCAGGATTGACAAAAGTATAATAAAACACTGTGACTTGGAAGCCTACAATTCTACATAAATGATAATAAAAGTATGTATGCACATTACATTGGTATCAATGACCAGGGTGGGGGAGCATTACCCATGTCCCTAAAAAGAGAAAATAGGGTGGGTGGCACGTGGCTCATCACGGTAAAGGATCAGTAGAATCCTAATCAAACTTTGTGTTTCTGGTTTAACTTGGAGATTCTACCTCACCATTACAATGTACCTCCATTCAGAATCACGTGAGACTTCAAAGCTTGAGGACAGTAGGCCTATAATGTGTCCACAAGAATGTATTAAATAGTGTGATCAACATTTGAATCAATTTAATTGACTTTAAATAAACTGCTTATCATTGAATTAGCAAACTTTGTCTGTGGGGTTTCTTCCCCAATATTATTAAACCTGGCAAACATGTCTGTGTTTGTATTTCGCATGTATTTCACTTAATCTTGTCAAAAGGTATGATGTTTTCAGATGAAAATTGACAAGTCTTTTGTCTTCATGGTGATGCCATTTTGACAAACCACTGGCATTACCAAGATTTTGGCACATGCGCACAAATTAAGTAGAAGGGATAAACAGATATACGTTTAAAATGCACAACAGCTTAAATAGATTTTCGACTATGGCTCTAACTGCAAGGCTGTGTATTGTGCAGATTAATTAGTTGCCGTTTTATTTTCGAGTTGAACCCAATTCGGTCTAAATAAAAAAACGTTCAGACATCGTTTTAGCAAGAAAATTACACCAAATCGAGTTCAACCAGTGTTTTAAGGGAATTTTAAACGGTGTCTAAATTACTCTTAAGTCCACAAAATGATTTGGTCAGTGATTAGAGGCCTATGTGTTTATAGGTTCAGTGCATGAAACCCCAAAGTTTTATTTTATTCACTGTATATTTTCTTTATACAGAATGCAATGGATGATTCAGAGAAAAGACATAAGCATGCTAAAAGCAGAAAAAAGGACAAAGATGACAGAAGGAAGGAGGGGGCAAGAGAGAAACATTTGAAATACAATCAACCGCAAAAAGCACCTGAGAAAGGTCACAGTAAGTGTACTTTAATACAGTTGTGTTTTGGGATGTGCATTTTTCCCCTGTAAATTACAGATGATTTGTAAAATAAAATTATATCTTTAACAGAAATTGACCAGAGTGAAATTTAAACCTCTGATCTCTGGTACAGTACTCCGGAGGTTGCAGGTGCAAAGAATTTATGCTGATTGGAAAATTTTTGCTAAATCTGGTAAGTCTAGCACCTGTAAGCAGAATATCCAAATCTATGCATATATGGCAAGCAAGATACCGGCATGTTTGCATTCTGATAACCTGTCTTGCAAATCTCAAAGCAAAAGACAAAAAAAAACCCAAAAGGTGATTACATTAAAACAATGTTAATGTTTGCCAAACAAAATTCTCGATTTTGCAGTGTAATAAATCAATTTTTACCTCCAAAATCCTTCCTTTGCCAAGTTGGCCTGCTTGAAGAGAGTGTGTGGAAGTTACCAGATCTTTCTATTTTTTTTAGGGAGTGTTGATTATGATGAAGCTAGAAGTCGGAATAGAGATGACATAAATCATTCAGAGGCAGATAGGCTTAACCAAACAGAAGACAAAGGAAAAAGATCTAAAAAAGATGATTTTATCAAGAAAGAACGAGAAAAGGAAAAAAGAAGACAAATTGAGGTGAGGCTTTTCAAAATGAGTAAATGTACCCAGGTTTGTAGAAACTGGTATTAGCGACCAGATCCCAGTGACTCTGCTATACATACATGTACATGTAATGTCATATTTTCTGCTTATCCAAACTTACTGCCAGTTTCAGTTTTAAAATGTTGCAAAGTAAACTTATGCATGTTTTTATGCTAGGTACAGGGTTCCCATGGTCATTGAAAACCTGGAAAATAGAAATTTGGATATATCAGTTTCCAGACCTGGAAAAGTTATGGAAAAATGTTAAAGTGACAAGTCAGGGAAAAGATATTCTGATATTAATTGCCGTGTAAAGTAGACTTGACTCAAGTCAGAATTGCTTTTAGTCAGTATCTCAAAAAAATAAAAAAATAAAAACAAATTACCAAAAAACTACTTAGGTCTACATCACTCTACTTACCTGTAGAGCGAATACTACTTATTGTTCTCTATGCCGGCAGGCAATTTGCTAAGAGTTTTACACAATAGCGCCCTCACATGTCCTACCAACGACGCCCTGTGACATGCGCACTACGTTAACGTCCTCTTTTTCTCTTAGCCGCAGGCGAGGTATATCGTGAAATTTTGATCGACCCGAATTTCACTGTTTTATTTATGCCTCTTTGCTGGGAGAAACCTATTTATCAGGTATAAAGAGAAAGTGTTTATTGTAGAGTTATCATAGTGAGTTATTCTAAGTGAAGTGAGTTGGAAAAATGAGTAAATCTAGGAAGTTGGGGAGGACTGGGTGTGTCGATAATGGAGGGACGTACATCCCACCAGACAAGACCGAGTTCTCGGGGGACTGCACCGGTGATGGTACGTCACCGCGGCAGCAGTCCCCTAGTCGGCCCCTTCAGCCACTGCCGGCTGTCGGAGCTGACGGACCCGTTGACCAAGCGGGGGGCCGTACAACCCCACCGTCTTCGGTCAATATTCTCGGGTCCGCCCAACTGAAGGGGAAACGCACCGGCAAGACAAAGAAATTGTCTGACGCCGGGGCAGTACCCAAAAAGGGACGTACGGCAAAAGGTGGCCCCGCTACGGGACGCACCGTGCCTGTCCCTGGCACGTCTACGTGCCTGTCCCTGGCCCCTCTACATCGGATTTTATTCGTTGTTCGTGCATCCCCGTGTCCCCGCAATCCTCAACAACTACTCGCAGTCGTTCTTCAAAAAAGAAAAAATCAAAAAAGAGCCGCCGTTCCCACCATTCTTCGACGAGTTCTAGCGAGTCACCCGGCCGATCACACCGTGGGAAACGCCACAAGGGTGGCGACCCGATTTCATGCGATGATTTTTTGGAGGCTTTTCACTCCCTCGCGGCCTCATTGTCGGGCCGACAGGGAGATTACAGTCACAGTTGGCCGACTCCGGGCCAAAGGGACATACCACACACGGTTAGCCGTGCGCCGGAGTCCCATCCAGAATTACAGCCCCCACACGCCAGTCATCACGGCCGTGGTGGGGTGACTACAGACCAGCGGACAATGCCGTGCACGGAGGGCCGTGCACCGGCGTCCCCGCCCGGTATTAGTTTACACCCATCGGTGTCACTAGAGTCCGAGCGGGTCTCGATACCGGGACACCGTGACGGCGCTGCTTCGCCCCCGAGGCCTGGTTCCCATTCCCCGGTGACAACTCGCCCCCCGGACTCTGACAATTCGGCGGACGAGAGCGAACTGACTCGCACCATGCAACGCCTATCGGTGGCTGAGACCGAACTCCGCTTGGTCCAACAGGATATGATCAGAGTTCTGAATCTTCCTGCTGGGACCGAACCTCCTCCTCCTCCTGAGCGTCAGTCATTCAAGAAGAGATTGGGACCGCCGACAGAATCAGTCCGGGCGTTTCCCACAATGCCCCTGGACCGCGTGTGCGTTGACCACATCGACGGGATAATGCACGCAAAGACATGGAGTGCCTACGCTAAGCGCGTAGACTCGTATTATCATTTTCCCCCAGGGGATTTCGAGAAATATTTCTCAACTCCAGTCCTGCCGGACTCGGCCATCGACAAATTCGCCGCTGACCGAGGGACGGCTTCATCCAAAGTTCCTTTTACGGACAAGACCCGTGGAAAACTGGAGGATGTCACCCGTAGAATGGACTCGGCGGCACGCATGGGTATGCGTGCGACGTCCTTTCTTCTTCTCCTATCAGAGTACCTGGCACTGGGATATGAAGAAGATTCGGTGATACCAGCCGACATGATGGTGGCTGCTCTCCATTGCCTCGATCGCGGCCTGTGCTCCACTCTCGACCAGTTTGCTAGAGTGTCGACCTTAGCAACATCGTCACGCCGCGCCAATGTGCTAGATGCGCTTTTCCTCCCGTCACCGGGAGCACGTAAGCGTCTCGACGAACTTCCGCTTTCAGGCCCGGATTTATTTTCTGGTAAGTTCCAGGAGGCCATGGAGGCCATGGAGGCCGAAGCAAAGCGCCTCAAGGCCACTGAGAAAATTAATCTCAAGAAACCGGCCGAGCTGAAAACTGCGGACAAGACAAAGGAACAACCTTCTTTTGTCATTCCCCGGCGCCGCCCCCCGGTCAGGGCGGCCCGTGGTGGAATTCGTGGGCGCGCCGATAAGACGGTTGGCCCGCGTTATTCACAACCACATACCGGACAACAGCGTCCCCAGTCGGGACGCGGTTTCCGTGCGCCCACTCCCCGGTACACCGGGGCATGGCGCAAGTGACTTAGCGCAAGTGACCTCGACGATTGGCTAGTAGTGGGTCGTTCTCGGGGGGAAACGGAAGCGGCGCTCCAACTAACGTGGCACCTTGTTTCCGACCTTGGATTTCTCATCAGCACCTGAACACCAAGGAATCCCATCCAGTCCCCTCGCAGGTTCCCACCTTTCTAGGTGCATCCCTCGATCTTCGCAGGGGACTGGCCCGTCCATCGGAGGACCGCCTGCTGAACCTTCGGCAGTGCGTGTCCCTCTTCCTCCCGATGGTAGTGGCTCCGGCCCGAGCCTGGCTCAGGCTGTTGGGCCTTATGGCCAGTTTGGTGGACTTGGTGGATTTTTGCAGGTTGAGGATGAGGCCAATTCAACTTCACCTGCTTTCTTTCTACAGACCCCACTGGGACCCGATCGACCATCTGGTGCCCACTACCTCTTGGCTAGTCCCCCACCTTCGTTGGTGGCTAGTCGATGCCAATATAACGCAGGGCCGCGTTTTCCGCCCGCCCCGCCCGTCGGTACTGATCACGACTGACGCGTCAGGGTACGGCTGGGGGGCTACCCTCCACCCGCGACAGGTGGCGGGCGTATGGGGCCCCAAACATCAATCATCCCACATCAACGTCCTGGAAATGCTGACGGTCACCAACGCCCTAAAACATTTTCAGTCAGACGGCAAGCAGTCCTGGTACGATGCGACAACGCCACAGTGGTGGCATACATCAATCACCAGGGGGGCACTCGGTCAGGCCATCTGTGCGCACTAACGTGGGATCTCACCCTCTGGTGCATACATCACGGGATAGCACTGTCGTCAGTCCACATCCTGGGTGAAGAGAACGTCACAGCCGACGCTCTGGTCACTGCTCCCACAGGTGGCTCAGTCGATCTTCCGCCTAATCGACCGGCCGCATGTGGACCTATTCGCGTCGCGAATGAACAATCAGCTACCGATCTACTGCACGAGGGGCCCAGACCCCAATGCGTGGCAGACCGATGCGCTGTCGGTGCGGTGGGACGGCCTACTGGCCTACGCCTTCCCACCCATCTCCCTCGTTTCTCGAGTGCTGACCAAGATCGAGCAGGAGGATTGTCGAATCCTCTTCATAGCCCCGTTCTGGCCTCGCCAGCCTAGGTTTCCCCGGCTTGTCCGACTCTTGGTTCACCGCCCGGTAATTCTACCAAGGAGGGCTGATCTCCTTTATCAGCTTAGCTCGGGAATCAGTCACCAGGCTCTGGGGGATCTTCACCTGACGTGCTGGGTATTGTCACGCGATCCCTCCGCTCAGCAGGCCTTTCGCGACGAGCTGCAACAATTGCAGCCCAGTCCCTTAGAGCCTCAACCAGAAAGGTGTACGATAACCGACTACGCCATTTCTTTAAATGGTGTAGACGGCAATCCATTCATCCCCCCAATACTTCTGTAGGGGAAGTGGGGGATTTCCTCCTATACCTTTTTAACAGTGGGCTCACGACGGCCACGGTCAGAAATTATCGATCGGCCGTTGCCGCGATCCATCAGGGATTTTCGGACGGTTCCTCCGTTTCCAACAACCCTGCAATTAGTCAACTGATCAAGGGGATGTTTAATACTCGTCCCCCATTACGCACATTAATCCCATCTTGGGACCTCTTCAGCGTATTATCTACACTGGCGAAGGCTCCCTTTGAACCAATGAATTGCTCAACTTTGTTACAACTCTCCATCAAAGTAGCTTTTCTATTGGCTGTCGCTACATCCCGACGACGTAGCGAACTACACTCGTTATCGATGCAGACAGGACACATCCGGTGGGAACCGGGGGGTGTCCGCCTGATCCCTACGGCCGGTTTTCTCGCAAAGAACCAGTTGGAGACCTTTACGCCCCCGGACATCTTTGGCCCCCGGACATCTTTGTCACTTCGTACGGGACGCGACAAATTGTTCATCACGACGACCCCGCCCCATGGGCCGGCGTCCCGCGATACAATCACTCGCTGGATCGTGACAGCTATCCGTTCTGTACCGGGCGGCTGGCCAGCGACCCAGGGACCCATTCGAGCGCATGAGGTCAGGGGAGTGTCCACCTCGTGGGCCTTTTTTTAGGGTGTCCCCCTAGGTGACATCGTCAAGGCAGCCTGCTGGAAGAACCCAAACACGTTCTCCGAATGCTACCTGAAGGATGTCCTCCAGGCAGATGGCAAGGCTGAAAGAGAAGTGCTGCTGGCGGCCAGTCGAGCCTCACGGAAGCACTAACGGGTGAGCATATAAATATACATGTATATATTTTTATGGGCATTAAGTTTAATTAGGTGTACCTATCATGTGTTCATCCCCATAATGGTTACACCCCCCTGACTTTTTGCGCACGAGCTCTTTGGGTTCCCCTGACGAGGTGAAGCCTAGAGCGTCTGGGGTGTAGGTTTTGGTTTGGGGTTGTTTGCCTATTGGACACGCCTCATGTCCTACACCCCTGTAGACATACGGTAATTCGCGTATACCCACCGCCTTACTCGGTGCGAGTCTATGCATATGTAGTATTTGCTCTACAGGTAAGTAGAGTGATGTAGACTCCCCTCCCCCCCACACAGTAGTGTGGTTGGGGTCTACGAGCGAATACTTACCTGTAGAGCACCCCTCCCTCCTTCCCCACTATACTCGATTCCTTGAGTGCTTACGCAAGTAGCGCTTGAGAAAAAGAGGACGCTAACGTAGTGCGCATGTCACAGGGTGTCATGGGTAGGACATGTGAGGGCACTATTGTGTAAAACTCTTAGCAAATTGCCTGCCGGTATAGGGAACAATGCATATGTAGTATTCGCTCTACAGGTAAGTATTCGCTCGTAGACCCCAACCACACCATTGTGGGGGGGGGGGGATTTACATCTTTAACATGCGTTCCACTTCAGTGTCGTATAACAATGCACACTCACTATGTATACAGTATGGGTATTACATGTACATGTGTGTGTACATGTGAAGAGCATACACGTGCATACTTACATGTACATGTGATTCAAAAGTGTTTACCAATAAAGCAGCCATATTGGCCATATTTGCCGCCATATTGGCCGCCATTTTGAATTTGAACATGATAACAAAAAAGATATACCAGAAATGAATTTGTGAGTGCCAAAAACATATAACTAACAATTTTATTTATGATTTTATCATATTATTAGGCTAATATTATTTTTTACCAATATGGCGGCCATATCGGCCGCCAAACTGGCTGCCGTTTTGAATTTGAAGCATGATAGCAAAAAAGATACCAGAAATGAGTTTTTCAGGGTCTAAAACATATAACTAACCATTTTATTTATACTTTTATCATATTATTTTTTACCAATATGGCAGCCATATTGGCCGCCGTTTTGAATTTGAAGTATGATAGCAAAAAAGATCACAGAAATGAGTTTTTCAGGGTCTAAAACATATAACTAACCATTTTATTTATACTACCAATATGGCGGTCGTCAAACTGGCGGCCTTTATGAATTTGAAGCATGATAGCAAAAAAAATACCAGAAATGAGTTTTTCAGGGTCTAAAACATATAACTAACTATTTTATTTATACTTTTATCACATTATTTGGCTGATACAAGTATGTATATGCCTTTTTCCCCCCAGTTTTTACCATTTTCGGCGGCCATTTTGGCGGCCATCTTGGATATCACTAGAGCATCGGATTTTTTTAATGTTAACATCCAAAATGTGTTTTAGGACCCTAAAATGCACCAAAAAAAAAATTGGTGTTGGTTAGTTCTGGGCTGGGGGTGCACGTAGGGTCCCCATACACACTCAAAATAAGTTCTAGGTCAGGCCCTGTTTTGTTGTAAATTGACTGAGTAATAAACACACAATTTTTGGCATTTAATGCAATTACCAAAGGTGCACTTGGACTTTTAAAGGACCCATGTAATGTAATGGTTTTTTAATAAAGTTGTGGTATGCACTTTTTTATCCTTTTTATTTTTTCTTGCAATTTTCATTTTGCCATTTTTAAGTGCATTAAGGTGCCTTTTTATGCTAATATGAATTTGCATATTGATGAGCAAATGTGTGATTTTTTATTCAGCACCAAAAGTTGCTAGAAATTCGGATTTATTGGTGTCAAACATTTTGTTTTTCCTTTGGGGATTTGTTGTTGTTTTCGTAAATGACAGTGCTAACAAATGTTTTCAATGAGCAAATTTTGGGTTCACAATTTGAACAGAAAACCCCTAAACTGAACAGTGTCTTCCTGAAATGACATCACTCCAACAGCACTTTCATTTGTCAGAAAAAGCAAGGAAATGTTTTAAATGTTTGAAGAAGTCCACTTTTCACCAAGATTTAACCAAAAAAGGTTGGCGAATACACGTAGTTTACATGTAAGAGGAGTAAAATGTTGCACAAATTATGTTTTCAAGTAAAATTCATGTCATGGGCCCTTTTAAAAGGTCATACCTTGATTGTTTCATGATAGGATGATGGAGACAATGGAATACAAGTAACTCATTCCTGGACAACTGCTGGCAATGACGGCTATGAAGACGACTTTGAGGTATTGGATTATTTTCCAGATATTAATGCACTGCATATATGTAGGCAAGACCAGTTGACTTTTTCTCAGAGTTTGTGATATCTATAAATTACAATTCACAAAATGTTGCATTATCGTTGTGGATAAGGCCAAAACCTAAAAATGCGACCCTAAAAATTTTATCAGCAAGTAAAAAAAAAATATATAATAGACATAAATGAATTTTAAAAAAAATCCTGTTGTCTTTTCTGTCTTCACAAAACACCTCAACAACACTTTTGCATCAAAAAATGCTTCTATTTACTTGTTTTCCTACTTACATTCGCTATTGTTTTAGAAGAAACCTCCGTAGTTTTTACAAGTTAGCATCGCAATAACTAGTTCGCAATTGTCGATGTCGCGGTGACGATATGAAACACGCATGCGTACTGCAATGCTCATTGCAGCGATGACTGGTTCCTGCCGCGCCGTGCAAGGGCCAATTTAGATGGCATGATGGAAATGCGGTAACCAGTCCATGCATGGCTATGCTGTATCCATGGCAGCGGTGCACTGTCAACTGGTCGGATTAGACATTGTAAAAATGCCAAGAAAACACAGATGGAGAAAGAACATTTTTGCAAGTTAATTTACAGATCTTAATCTCTCTTGTCTGCAGGCACGGATCCATGCTATGCTGTATCCATGGCAGCGGTGCACTGTCAACTGGTCAGATTAGACATTGTAAAAATGCCAAGAAAACGAACATTTTTGCAAGTTAATTTACAGATCTTGATCTCTCTTGTCTGCAGGCACGAATCCAGGGGTGGGCCGCGGGGGCACATGCCCCCAGTCAAATTGAGTCCACAGAAAAAAAGGAGGGGAAAAAGGGGAAAAAGATAGGCGCCGATATTAAACATCGGCCTGCAAACATTGCGTACTGGCCGTATGACACAGCAAGCTCAAGAACCATACCTCAAGAACCCACCGTCCCTACTCCATACGTTGCCTACATATACCACGGATCCTAGACACCAGGATAAACGACTGTTCTGAGCTCTAGTACAAAATGCACTCAATGGACTTGCCTTAATTGGTTAGATGGGTGATAACGGGCATTAATACCTGTTGGCGCGTAATCGCGAATTTTCCAGGTGTGCCATTGTGTTGGGTTTTTGCACAACATCTAATACGGAAATATTCATAAAACTGTAAGTAAAACTACTTCTTATTTTAGATATAATTGTTCCAAATTATTTTAAAAATAAATACTTCAGGATATAACAGATGGTATTGTGCAGTTTTTGTCGTCATAGATGAAGTATTGACCCGGGAAATAAATGTCAAATTTCGAGGAGAACACCGTTTACCCAAATTTCGTTTTAATTACGGGCTTTTATTAAAAAGTTTTAGAGAGATAGGATGCCGAACCGATGAAAGAAAAGTGACATCTCATTGTTCATCTTAAAGCTAAAGATATTGTGCTTGGCACTACCATGGTTATGTAGTTATCACTTATCAGAATTCAATAATAAAGACCAAAAACGTAGACTCATGAATATTCAAAAATATAATTCGCTGGCTTGACAGACTTCGAGGCCAGATCGGGCAAAGAGCCTTGCAAATTTGAAAGCCACCGCGCGCAGTGGTCTTTGTTGAAAAGTATTCATGGTATTTGCCACCAGTACAGGCCGTTATTACGCATCTAACCAGGAGTTGAGCCGAGTCGTTAATCCTTGTGTGTAGGATCCGTGCATAAACTAACATATGTACGATGTATTCTCTACCAAAAGCATGTGCAGCTTATATGCGGTGTATGAAGTGCCACACACACGTTGTGCACTGCTCTTTGGACCTCACCATTGGTCATGGGGTGTGTTTCCGTACAAACCATTTGCCATTTGCCAGCATTTCCACGTGCTTTTAAATTTCAAATTATACTTTACATGGCATCCAAAACATGTCCTTGTTTGAAAATGACTTCTTGAACGTCATCGTATAGTTTTTGTAAAGACCTTATTCGAAAAATGATGTAAAGTCCTGAAACAATATTGAAACACCCCTGAAGACATGGATCCGTCTATAAAACGTCTTTTTTTATGAAGAAAGTTGCGATCCAAAATTTGGGTTTTGACGTTACACGCATTACTGAAAATACAAATCTGATAAGTTTGGCACTTAAAGGGGATCAGTTTGTTTTTAGGACAAAAAGAATCAGCAGTTATTACCAAAAGGCAAGTTTAGTACTCGATTGAGACATGCTCTGGCAAGCTAAACGGAGGGTGGTGTTGCTTACCCAAGTGCAAGCGGGAAAAAATGATCGTGGTTCGCCGGTGGCTTCGGGGGCTGGCTTCCATGTCGGGCACGGGCTGGGCACGCTGGGATAGGTATACCCCAATTCCCGATATCTGTTTCTCAATGTCATCATCTACAACTATTTCCTGTAAGTTTTTACATAACCAAATGACGAATCCACCTTAAAATTGTGTCGTACCGTGAGGGAATTGCAATCATGGCGAACTACGATGATTGTTTTATGCAATTTGTCTTGCTGCGCTGCCGATGTGCCGATGCTTTATTTACAATACACATGTACACGTAGGCCTACAGGCCCTTTTCTTGAAATTGAAATTGGACTAAATTAAAACCAAGAACATTTCTTTAAAATTACATAGAGCAAAAAAAAAGGAGAAACTTTGAGGACTGCATGAATTAATTTAGTCATGAAATAACACTGCCGAGCTGTGAAGTTACAATGAGGATGGAGGCCTGTTTTACTTTTAGCTTGATTAAATTCAATTTACATGTTCAAGCAGTTTGTTCTTATTGATAAACTGAAAGTTGCAACTTGAACACTGAGGTTTGACAAGACTACATGAAGATATCTGGAGACAAAGTAAATGCACGCAACTTTTGGGTATAATAGTAGCCATTTTGGATCGTTACCATGGCCTCATAAGGGCAATTCAACAGTAACGGAAGGACGTTTTCACTCATTATACAAAATTTCAAATGTGTGTATCACAGACACTGTTATTAGTTACATCAAACAAGTGTCACAATAATTATGCCGTAATGCTACCTTCAATTTCCACACTTATTGGGGGCATGAATACCTCTCGTTCATGAATTATGAATATTAATGAGGTTGCTAACGGAAGGACGGTAAAACGGACAAGGGTTTTCCAACTTACATGTGTTTTGCATAAACTCTGTGAATTTTATGGGGCAATTACATTTTAAAGGTAGGAAATGGAATCCCTGAAGCTTTAACTATACTATGCCACCTTTCATTTGAATTTAAGTGTTTCGGTAATATAATTACAGCGTCTTAAGTGGATTGTAATCTGGTGATGGAAGGACAGTAACGGAAGGACAAAAGGTTTACTCAATCATAGCATGAACAAAATGTGAATTTACACTAATTATACAAGTAAAACAAATTGCTGAAATGTGTAACTGAATGTGAAATCAACAATATGCAGACCTGGCATAAATAATTATACCCAAGAAACTATTGAGATAAAGATAGGTGCCTTCTAATTAATTATAATAAATGAAAAATGAAAACAACCAAAAACACATAATTCACGAACACAAGACTACTACAGAAATAGACTTCAAACCCATCACCTCAATCCTTAAAAGTTAAAATACACAGTATTTGAACACTTGAGTATATTGGTTACATGTTCACCAACAACTTTTAATAATAAGTTCAGTGTTTTACCTACATGTACATGTAAAGGGTTGGGGGGGGGGCCTACCAGCCTACATTTTAGTTCAAAACATCTACCAGTAGACCTGATTGCATCCGAATGATTATGCTTCAAAAACATTTCAAATTTTAGATGTTGCTTTTAATTGAACTCTAAATTCAATGTTTGAAATCAAATTATAACAATTTAGAGTACCGGTAGTAACAATAATTAACTTATAAACATCCAAACTGAGGTTGTTAACTGTGGCATAATTTGTAAAAAATTGCACCTCACATGTCTTACACATGTAAATTGTATGAAAGTGCCCAATAGTACTTCCTGCCATCTCATTTTTGACTTATTTTGCTTGTGGAATGGCTTCACAGAAATTTTATCTTTCCTTATTGTCCAAATTGAATGGCGATGGCAGCAACTTTATGATTTGATTTTCTGCTTTATGATTTGGGTACATATACATACATACATGTACCGTATATATGTACATTGCACATGTTGTACATGCCTATGCCATCCTTTGTAATGAACACCTTGCTCTGCTTATACCACCTTTGTGAAGGTGGGTCACATAAATGTTCTTTTAATGCTCATTATACAAGCATGTATTTGCAGTGATTTTCATTTTTCAACAGGAGCACAAATGTTGTAACATTTGATGAAAATAACATTTGTGCTTCCGTTACCGTCCTTCCGTTACCAATTTGGTAACGGAAGAACGTGATTTAATTAATTGTAATTAAAAAACGAGAAGTACAGAAGTGTCAGTTATAATGTCATATTGAAGGCCTATCTAAACTTGCTTTACATAATAACTTTCATTGCATTCTGATTCAAACTACAAGTTTCTAAAATAAATTTAAAATATGTATTTTTTTCTGTAACGGAAGGATGTTTTTGAAGGCTGAAATATTAGAAGTCACCGAAGCGAAACAAATTACGCAAAACGTAAAAAAAAAGTTGCAGTCAGCTTTTCAAGACCTATACTTTCTCATGACAGAAATTGATGGCGTAAGTACACATTGTTGTGTATGTAATGGTAGAATACTTTCATGTCACTGTTAACCACATTTTTAGGATTAAAACAGGATTATTACATAATCCTATTTTTGGGTACCAAAATGTATCAAAAATACAATGCCGACTCCAAATCTTAAAAATATAGGCTTTTAGCTTTCATTTGACACCAAATTTGCTTAAGTCACATTCATTTGAGTTTTTTGGTGTCATGTCCACTTTGGTGTGGAATTGTCTACAATTAGTCACTTATATGATTTAGAAAATGTTATTGAAGTAAGGATGTGCAAGTAGAATCAACAAAATAAAATTTTCAAAAAATAAAAAGTACATAATATACCCAAATATGGGGGCAAATATATTACACGGCAGGTTCTGACGATTTATGCAAATTAGGTATATTTGGGTCAAAATTAACGATGGCATTCACCCACATTTTGTTTGTTATGGTTCAAAGAATTGATCTAGCATGGATGCCAGCTATTGCCAAAATGTCGTGAAATTATTTTCTAGAGAACTTTTCCACATTTGGCTGGCCTACTAATATTCTTGTTGGTCTCTTTTATGCAATGACCAAGTTCAGATGGAAGAATTTTGGGGTTTATAAACACTGACATTTAGTTGGAAAATTGAGTTGGAACTATGGAAGCAGTGGGGTTATCAGCTGGAGTCTGATGAGACCAGAGTTTGATGCTCTGATCTTTTGTGCATCGTTGATCTTTGTCTTTTGAACTTTTGTACAGAAAATACTTATTTCCGTGAAGTGTTTTGCTGCGGTGAAATACTTGTGATTCAACAGGAGGACTTTCCTCGCCGACTCCCTCTTTGATGGTGAAGCTTTGCATGAGGCAGAGATTTAAGAATAAAACACCTCCCATCTCATATTCTTGACCAACTTCCTTCTTGACATTATTTTGGGAGTCTTTTGCGTCATCCACTCTATTGACCCCGAACAATCAGTTTCTTATTCAGTTCGTTAAAACTTGTTAGACCGCTACCAGATCAAAATGCAGATCATTTCCAGATCGTGGCGAGATCATTACATCAGGCCTTTTTACACTTTTTCCGTTTCGAACCATGTTGAAACCAACCCAGTTCATCCCGAGTTGTTTTTGACATGGATTGGAGAGACACAATGTTCACACTTTCTTCACACGAACCGGCTGCTGCATGAACCATGTAACGTTCAATCCGGATAGGGCCACTGTGTATTCACACTACGAATCTCAACACGGATCGCATTCGGCATGGCACGCTGTGATGATTTTCTCGATCCCATAATGCATTCCGATGCACGTGTACGAGGCCTGTTAACCTGCAGGTGTACAGCTTGAATTTACTACTCGGTGAAATACAAACTCATTGGTAGTATTGTGCATGCCCAAGTATGATAATTAGGAAGACTGGTCACGTGAGAGGGTTTGACCAATTATAGAGTGAAGGAATCCGATTTACATGGGCGTCTGATTTTTGATTATGAGACCAGTTGTGCAACATACCAGTTCCAAAATGGCTCCGCACATTTCATTTGTACTATTTAATGTTAGAAATTCTTTTGCACATTTTGTAATACAAGCCCAGACTCGTCAAAGGATGCTCCATGCTCGGAGACGTTTTTGGATGATAATGAAGAAGATATTGGCTTGTGATTGACTGGTGTTTGTAATGGTAATGATGGGTATAGTGGCGGGAAATATGCACGGTGTGTCACACTTTCGGTAGAATGTCTCGCCTCAACTCAACACGGATCTGCCGCGGAGTGAACTCAACTCGGAGCGGTTCACACCATCATTCTCAACACGGCTCAGGCCGAAAATTGCGATTTTGATCTGGTTGAGATTTTGATTTTGATCCGGCTAGAGCATGCCAAGGGGGTCGGAACTGGGTTGACATTCTAGAAGTGGGAGAGGGTTGGAAAAAATCTCGGTGGTGGAACCTGTTCCAACCCGGAGATTTTGGACAGTGTGACAAGGCCTATACCGGTAAATGCGGCACTGAGCTGGTCTTGACGCATGGCTTCTACCGCTAGCACTGAGCTGGTCCGACAAAATTCTATTTAAGACAACACTGAGCTGGTCTGACAAAAACCTACAGAGAGCACTGAGCTGGTCTGACAAAAACTACAGAGAGCACTGAGCTTGTGCCACCCTCGGCTGCTACATATAGCACTGACCTGGTCTGGCTCATGGCTTCTACAGACAGCACTGAGTTGGTCTGATGAAAGCTGCCTACAGAGAGCCAGACGTGGTTCTAGAGCCTATTTTTTTGGGGGGGGGGGGCTTGCAGGGTGGATCCAGAAATTGTTTCAGGGAGGCGTGCTGAAATGTAGAACGGTTATTTTCTCAGGACACTTAGGCCTTCGAAAATCAATCGGGGGTTGGGGGGGGGCCTCGTGCCGCCATATTTTCAATGGGGAGCGCTGATAAAATCCTACAATCAGGCACACTATATTAAATAAAAGTGTACAAATGCACCATTCTCACGACTATTCATTTAGGGGGAGACTGTTCGCATGTACGTCACATTCTTACATTTTGCTAGTGCAAGTTTTATTTTTTATTGTTTTTTTTTTGGGGGGGGGGCGGCTACAAAATGTTTTTGCCTGCCAGCCCCGCCCCCCAAAAACTGACCCCTTTTTTTTTTTGGCTGAAAGGAATATGAAGATGATTTTGAAGAATTACCCAGCAATTCGGAATTTGAAGACAATCAGTTGGTAAGTCCAATAAAAACAAATACTTTTTAACCATTGGCAAACAAACTTTTTGTGTCACAGATATCCGCTTTTGCTGTCGTTTACACAACCTAAGTTGAAAATAGATAAGACAAACAGAATTCTAAGATTGATCTATTTGACTGATTATGATTCACTTCTTTGTTTTTGTATTTCTTTATGCATTTGTTTATGCTTACTGACTTGAATTCTTGTTTAAAATTTGAAGGACCTCACTGAAGTGGAAGCACTGAGGATTGCAATGAAAAAGGAGAATGAAGCCACCTCCCGATACAGCAGTGACGTTGTGAGTATAATGTACCCAATCGTGATCAAGGGCTTATCAGGGATTGACATTGAGGGAGATGTAATAAATGGAGACCACCTACTCTTCACATTAGTAATTACAAATAAAATGCCACTCAAATTTATTTGTATTTCCCAA